AAACCAGTATTTAAAATTTATGAAGCGCAGTCTCCGATATGCATGTTTACTGTGAGTGTACACTGTATGACTCTGGCTGGTTTCAAACTAATTACCTTCCTAAATTCCCTTAAACCTGGCAACATCCCTGGACTCAGCTTATTTTTTCTTATGCTGGGAAACAACTCGTTAATTATAGGATGGTGAGTGTGTTTTCAACTTTATAGTAGATGTACTATATAGATGTAAATAGGATGGGAGACTGTAAAACTAATACTTCCTCTTGAACTATATAGGCTTTGAACAAAATCTTCCCTTTTTAGCCAAAACAAGTCATATTCTAAATTGCTGGTTGACATAATTTGCATTAACATAAAATAATATAATCATAGAAGCTGTGTCACAATCAGCTGAGTAAAATCTGACAGCTTAGATGCTAATATAGGGTCAAACTAAGAAAAAAGATTTCTTTAATGGCCTACACTGTAATGGAAAGGACAGTGTCACTTATAAATGACTTCACATGCTAATTGATTCGATTATGGTACTTGTTAAAGATGTGCCAGACGTTTTATTTTTACATCAATCAGCCAAGAGCTTGAGTCAGTAGCACGGGAACAAGTAGAGGCTCTGCTGAAAACGCATATGTAATTTTATCTGACAAAATTAAACACCACAGTGAGAAGATATTAACAATATCAGTGGTGTCTTCCCTTTCCATTAAAGGATTATTATCAGAATCAAAACCAGCAAGAGAGACATAAGCTTAAGGTTTTACATAAGGTAATGTGACAGTAATGGTGCTGCTCCTCCTACTTAAAATCAATGCCTCAGTCTGCTCAGTCTCTTATAAAAGAGAAAAACAATCCTAACCGCCCAGTCCAAAATGGCTAAAGCTGAAGAGAGCTGAACATATAGTGAGCCAAATAAACCCAAATACCTTTGTCAGCAGAAAGTGGACTAAATCAATTCTGACACACAACTGAATATATTTGGACCTGCACTTGACAGGTGGTAAAAAAAAAAAATCTCACACAGGTGAAAGTTTGCTTTCTAACACATTACAACTTGCATAACTGGCAGCAGTTTCATCACAGGTAGAGCTTTTCTTGGATTCATACATCGCTAAGGAGCTAAAGTGCTCATTATTTCTAAGGTAAGAGAGAAGCCAGGCTGTGCTTCACAGCAAGCTGAAAGAAAGAACATTTTTCCACACAGACAAACACATTAGAACAATAAGCACACAGCTATATAGCAGAAGATGAGAGCCCAGACAGGCAGACCAGCGTATTTGCAGAGTTTTTACAATAAAAGCAACTGGTAACAATTTTCAGACAACAGCTGAAGAAACATCCTTGAAACATAGCTTGTGCAGCTGAGGATGAATAAACATTAAAACTGTGGCTGTTGGGGATTAGAAAAGCCATTAAAGATGCCCTGAGAGCCTTTAATGTCAATTTTAGACACAAAGCACAATGTATTCATCAAAAACATGAATATCAATCATGTATGAAAATCCAACTTTCTTAGATTTTCAATTACCAGCAGCATTTCTCCACTTTTCCCACTGCAGTGACGAGAACAAACTGAAAAGAGAAAATGCTCTAACAAGGCTTATGCAATTACTACTACCACTTTCGGCTGTTCCCGTTAGGGGTCGCCACAGCGAATCAACCATTCGCATGAATACATTTGGCACGTGTTTTACGCCAGATGCCTTTCCTGACACAACCCAAATTGATATATGGTATATATGCATGTCTTTGGACTGTGTGCCGGAGCACCCAGAGAGAACTCATGCAAGCACACAGAGAACATGCAAACTCTGCACAGAAAGGTCACAAACCCCAAACCTTCTTGCTATAAGGCAACAGCGCTAACCACCGTGCCACAGTGCTGCCCCTAACAAAGCTTATGCAATCAACTTAGTATTCATGTTCATGTATAAGCATCATGTATTAGGTGGCTGCAATTAAGCCACCTTTATCTCTGAAGTTAATAGAAATACTTGAATGTTTTCATGGCAAAAGGAGAGTGAACAATTACTACAAGTTATAAAATGAAATGTCACTTATCTATTAGTGTCGAATCCAAACCTCAGGTTTCCTTTAGCAGAGCATGCCGAGCATTTCTGCCCACTCAGCTTCATATTCTTTGTGTTGTACTATGCAGTGATAATGAGATTTTAGGCCATATCTCATTAAAATAAAGAGAGAAAAATGTCTCTTGGGTCAGAGGGTAATCCCTGGTTATTGTGTCCCGGCCGCAGCGCCAGGCAATTATGCCAGAGACAATGAGGAGCTAAAGAGCACTGTGGACGTATTAAGATCCTGAGGTTGATGATAAGGGGAAATATAGGTAGTTGCCCCTTTTTCATCTATAACATAATGGAAGGAACAGAAAATTAGCCATTAAAATGTGAAACAGCCTTATGTGTGATATTATAGATTTTTGTTCAGGCCTGGTTTGCTTCTGGTGAAATGTTTCTAAGTTGGTTTTGAATAGTTAATATATGACTTAAGAAAATGTAGTTTAGTATAAACTTTCAGGCCTCTAACTTGGATCAAAACACAGACACCAGCTTTTCAATGAAGCACATACTTTTGCTTGCTCTACAGATAAGAAACAAGCACAAGTGCCTCATGCCAGAAGTGAACCACTGACATGATGCTTGCCAGCACCATCCTCCCACCAATTATGATGTATTATGAGAGGTACTTGGCTATCAGAGAAGCCAACAGATCTGCCGTCTCAATGAGTTGCAACATTTCCAGGCATACACAGCCCATTTACTTTATTAGAGGGGCTCAACTCACAGCCTGCAGTCTATCAGTGCTCAGGGACCGGTAATCAATTCTCTAATGCCGTTTGAGCAAATTCAGCTATGATCCCTCACTCGCTGTGCAGATACCCCCCCCCCCCGCACGCACACCAACACACACACACACGCACACAGGACAACACACAGTTTTACTCTATCTTGCACACACACACACACACTGACAGACATGTATGTAGCGCTGTCTGCAACCAAGCACACACTGAATATAACCCAGATGGCCATCATAAAAGCAAAAGACAACTCCCAAGTATTAACTTACCATGTGAAGCAGTGATGGGCCACTGTCGTCTAATGGCATTACCAAAATGAGTAAAGCTCTCCTGAGGCAGACTCTGGTTCCTGATTACCCAGCAGAGGTGGACCCTGTTTGTGGCCAAATCCGATCAGCATAGCACCAGACACAGACGTGGCCGGTCAGGAACTCAGCTCAAGGCCCCTTACCTTTACTGACAGGCCATCGATTCTTTACGGGCAATAATATTCTCCTAGAATTTATCTCACTGGGCTCTGGTAGGTGATTATGTACTAGTACAACAGCTGAAAGGAAAAGCAGGGCACTAACTTCCTCTCTGGGCTGCTTACAGTGTGAAACCTTGTACAGATTAGAGAGAGTGAGGACTGAAATCTCTGGGTGTTTGCCTCAGACAGGCCATTTGCTGAAGCTGACTGGCCAGTGCTAACTTCGAATATTGTTTTTAGGCAACTTTATAAAAAAAATAATATTGACAATGAAACTAATTTGTGCAATAGAAACTGTGTATCCTCAATCCTGAATTACAACAATGTCAGCTATCTTTAAGCACCCAATACTTTAAAGGCAAAATTAGACTTTTTAAGACTGTCTAGCCAGTTGAATGGTCAATAAAGGTATTAAAGCTTCATTTAACACAATGCTCTCAAGTGACATGTATTGGAGATAACATTAGAGAGAAGCTACTCATAACATATGATCATGTGCTGATGCAACAGAGCAAACATTATTGACAGAGAGCAAATTATTTGTCTGCTGAAACCAATAAGGCATCTCATAACACCCAGTGGTGGAAAGTGAGTGTATTTAGGCAAGCACTTTACTGAAGTACAGCAAGTGCTTATGTGACTGCACAGAGCTGATCTACACTAAAAAATTAATACAAAACACGATTCTACAGAAAACAGGGCCTCATTTGTCATCAATTGCATAATTCTCTTACATGCACAACTTTTTCCTACAGTATGTAGGGTCAAACTGAATAATACGGTTTTTCTATGTAAATCTGAGCTTAATTAACCTGCATAATAAATTTGTGCTAGGAATGAGAATAATCCTTTTGTGCATTTGTCATCTAATCATAATGAAAAAATATTGGCCCTTTTATAAACACTACAGGTGTAAACAATTTTTACAGCTACTCCTATCACTTCTTGTTTCCTAGCAACTACGTGAACTACAGATGCTTGGTTGCAACAAACTCTACAAACTGCAGCCTCCAGTTTCAAGCTGACTAACGAGTAAATTTGGGAATCCAGTAAAATTGTTTGATTTCTAATAATATAAGACAAAGCTCAAATTAAAATCATATTAATTCAACACAAAGGTAAAATCATGACCATGCTAGATCACTATTATTATTAAAACAAAACACGTTAGCTTTAGATGGTAACACATCCAGAAGGAAGAACGCCACATCTGAATTATACCCGAGTCCTTTGCTTTTAGCCGTCTCCATGTCCAAAGCCAAACTTTTGTTTTCCCACTCTCTCTTTCCAAAAGAACGGACCTCTCGGGTCTGACAGCCACTGTTTCAGACTTTCAGCTGACAAGCGGTCCACCATGACTGGCTGTCTGAAATGATTATTCACGGTTCGAAAACCAGTTCTTGTAACCTTCACCAGGTGGCAGGTGTGGCTAATTTACAGACCATATTTACAGGGTAGAGAGGCTGGAATAACAACAGGCAGGACTGTAAGTAACAGAGTGTGGCAGAACAGCTGAGAGACACGACACCCTGTCCCATTTTCACTAGATTTATTAGATAATGTCAAAAATTTGTTGGTTAATGCATCTTTAACGATACCAGAAAATATTTTGTTGTTGTCTAGTTATCCTTCCCTTATCAAAGGCCTGCCCATCAATTTAGGAGTGACAGCAGATTTCAATTCTTTATTTTTATGCTAGTCAGAGGGCTCAAAGACTTACTTTGGTGTCTGCATGTCATCCAAGCGGTTCCCCAGCTGGAACTCGTGGGATTTGCTGCGGTGCAGTGCGGTGAAGCCCGGCAGCAGATGGATGAGCTTGCGGCTTGGTGGAGGTGGTGTTCCTGGTGCCTTTACTTTGTTCCTTCGCCACATGGGAGGAGTACCAGGTGGGGTCATGGTGTTGACCACCAAGGGAGTCCGAGGAGGTGTGTGGCCAAAATGCCTCTGACGGGGTGAAGGGGGCAGGGAGCGGTGACCAGAGTCCAGTTGAGGAAAGAGCCCTGTGGCAGGGCTGTCAACGGTGAGTCGATCTGCATACAAAGGGGGGGCCAGGGCCTGGGGACTGTGGCACATGTGCTGGTTATACTTGGACTGGACTTTGGGGCTTTGGGAGAGCTGGAACCGGATCCACTGACTGGCCTCTGGCTGGCACACTGGAGTGTTTTCTTTGCCCGATTCAGAAGTGGGCCACTGAATGGACCAGTTCTGCTTCGCCTGGCTTCCTGTTGGAAGAGGGTAGGGACAAAGGTGGTTTTAATGCTAATACAACCCCCAGCCGTACCATACAGCACAAAAAGCATATTAAAGCGAGTTCACACAAATTACAAAGAAAACATATTTTCTTATTTACGCATAGTGGTGTTTAGTCATGTACATGGGTTAATGTCTGTAAGCCTTCTGCCTTCACCCCACTATAGTGGAATAAAACAGAATTTACTTTGTAGGATCACAGTCAGACATTAAACCAACATAAAACTAAAACTATCTACGCGTCTATACACCACTTGTCTGAGTGAGAAGATATGTTTTGTTGCAATTTTGGTGACCATTTGTGTGTAATATGGTGTACCAAGTTAAACTAAATTGGTTCTTGCCATGCACTTAATACTACAGTAAAACATTCATTAGCTCAACCTCTTGATTGCAGCAGTAAGAATAAGCCTGGCAGCAGGCGGACATTTACGACCAGCAAATGTGCTCAATTTGGATAATGAAAATTAACTTCGCTTTTATCTGATATGAACATAGTGGTGCAGTGGTGTTCAAATATGCCAATGTGGAGCAGATTAGCATGAATGGAGGGAGGAGGAGAATGAGAGAAATGGAAGAGTGCACAAAAGCAAAGCAGGGCAAAGCCGCGTAAAACACAAAAAAGTTCTTCTGAAAGTAAACTTTCAGTTTAATGAGAAAGAGAGAACTGAGGCAAAAAAGGTGAAGGTGAACAGCCATATTTAGTGTTTTTGAGCTCAGATGACAATACTTTACCTCCGTTACTGTGCAATTTATCCTCCTCAAGTTGTTCTTCAGAAAGAAACAAATAAAAGAATGTGTTTATTGATCTGGCAGAGACACAGCTGACAGTCTGCAATATTCTACTTTCTTTCCATCTGCAGATATGCATAGCCAAAAAGGCTGTTCAGCAAAACAAAACATGGTAGAACTGATCCTGGGTTCATCTCAGCATATGTAGTATCTCATGCATGACAGACTCTGGCCAAAACTGACCCCATAGTCTGCTATTGACTGCCAAGCCACTATTAATATGACTTTCTGTCAACAATCCCTTCTTTACGGTCATTATTCTTCTGTCCTGTGACAGTCTCTAAGGAACTATAAGCATCAAAAACAAACTTCAAACAATATCAATACCAGCAATGGCAAATAAACCGTGTAAAATCTCTTATAAAAGGCCCCAGTGGAACTGCAAAGCTTGATGGGGGAAAAAAGAGCCTGCAGCCTCTTCAGTAATGTTATGATTAAGAAGCTGCAAGGAACGACAAGTTGTGTGAAGAGCCGGCTGCAAAAGCACAAGGGACATAAGATGCAGGAATGGACAGTCATTGGCTAAAAATATTGGCATTTCTGTCAGAAAACACAACACCTGTCCTATTGGAACAACACAAAAAAGCAGAGAAACAAAAGCCAAATCTGATACGATCCACACGAAACGCACAGACTGGATAGAATTATTGACACCTTTAAAATCATCAGAAATAGTTGTATTTCAAGTATGTGTTGCTCCTGTAATTTGCAATGAAACTCACCTGTAGCAGTCAACAAGTGCTGGCAATATAGAGATCACACTTACAACCAGGTAAAATACACAAAGTTTGACTCAACACTGAGAATGGAGAAAAGAAAGAAGAGCAAGGAATTGTCTGAGGATTTCAGAACTACAATAGTGGAAAGCATGGACGATCTCAAGGCTCCAAGTCCATCTCCAGAGATCTGGCTGTTCATGTGTCCTCTGTGAGTAACACTGTCAAGAGGTTTACAGCCCATGGAGCTGTAGCTAATCTCCCTGGACGTGGGTGAGAGAGAAGAATAGACGACAGATTTCAATGAAGGATTGTTCGAATGGTGGATAAAGAACCTTGATCAACTTCCAGACAAATTCAAATTGACCTGCAGGCACAAGGTGCAACAGTGTCAGCTCGCCCTATCAGTCACCATCTGAATGCCAAGGAAGCTATGGTAGAAGACCCGGGGGACCCACTGCTGGCACAGAAACATAAAAAAGCCAGACTGGAGTTTGCCAAAACTGACTTGAGGAAGCCACAGTTCTTTCGGGAGAATGTCCTGTGGACACGCGAAACTAAAATAGAGCCTTTTGGTCGAGCAAATCATTCTGCTGTTTTCAGAAAATGAAATGAGGCCTTTAGAGAAAAGAACGCGGTCCTTACAGTCAAACACAGTGGAGGTTCACTGATGTGTTGGGGTTGCTTTGCTGCTTCAGGCTCTGGATGTCTTGACTGTGTGAATGGCAGTATGAAATCTGAAGACTACCAATGAATTCTGAGGCCAGCTGTAGGGCCCAGTGTCAGAAAGCTGGTCAGAGGTCATGAGTCTTACAGCAGGACAATGACCCAAAGCAGACTTCAGAAAGCACCAGAGATGGTTACAGACAATGAGCTGGAGAGTTCTGAAGTGGCCAGCAATGAGTCCAGATCTAAATCCCATAGAGTACCTGTGAAGACATCTCAGAAGCTGGGAGAAGGAACCTTTCAAATCTGAGAGACCCGGAGAAGTTGGAAAAAGAAGAGTGGTCCAAAATTCCAGTAGAGAGGTGGAAGAAACTCAGATGGTTACAGGAAGTGACTGATTTCAGTCATTTTGTCTAAAGCATGTGCTGCCAAATATTAGGTTGAGTGTGTCAATGATTCTGTCCAGTCCATTTCTGGAATTCTGTGTGGATCGTATCAGATTTGCCTTTTGTTTCTCTGCTTTTTGTGTTGTTCCAATGCAAAGAATTTGTGATTGTAACAATTTTCTGGGAGAAGTGGTGCGTTACCTGAAAGAAATGAAAGAAGTGTTTTGGCCATGACTATATGTTCTCTTCTTTAATATTTTTTGTTCATCTTAACTGGAGATTCTTAAAATGGTTGAAGAGCCCAAAAAGACACCCAGTGCTGAGATTCTGCAGATGTTCCTACACCACAGGTCATGTTTAGTGCTAATCAAACAAAGCAAAATATTTTTAACAAAAACAGTCATTCCATTAACATCCAGCAGCTGAGAAGTTGTTGCAGTTGCTAATTCAGCTGAAAATAAATATAGCTGTGTGTGTTCTCTAGGGCTAATTTTCACAAAAGCCTTAAAGCAATGGTTAAAATTTATTGTATGTTTAATAGAGTAAAATGAGCCCTGTGGTGTTACAGCTTCAGTTGACTTTATCCGAATACCCATAAAGGCAAACACAAGCTAAAGAGAATGCCTTATAGAAACACAGTGATACTTTAGGCTGTTAAATCTGCTAAATTGCCAGTGACTGCAGCTATTCATTGTGAATGAGACCTAGCTTTACAGCCCTGTGCCCCCCGCTGAGCTCAAAAGATTTAATAAGCACCCAGCTACACAACGGGGGAAGGTTGAGAAAGGCTCATCTTTGTACATAACACACCCCAAGAAATACAGATTCATGAGAAGACAGATACTGCCAACTACTTTGTATCCATGCGTGTGAACATACTACTACTGCAGCATAACACATCCCAATCTCTGACTGAACTAGTGGTCGAGCTGGGGTAATGAAGGTTCTGACAAGGGAAGAGAATGCATGAAAAAAAGCACAGTGTCTCTGGTTCTGGGGTTCACCAGTGACTGTGCAATGATAAATGGACTACTCAAGGAGACTCCCATCTCAGAACACTGAGTATATCACTATTCAAATGAGAATTTACAATGGCAAATAACTGTCAAATAGTTCTGAGCGAATATTGAATAGTATTTGAGGTTGAAATGCCCATCCCTAGTTAAGCTAATGTAGACTGAACTTTTACATTTTATTAATCCTTTCTTAAAGATTCTATTTTGTTTGAATCTTTGTTAAAATGGCTGAAAATGAGAAATACTGTACATTGGTCTCTATGAGGAGAAACATTCAGAGGCTATAGTGAAGATATCACACCTAGAGTGGGGAGGCTGTTGAATTTGGTCTAAAAGAATTATCTCTAACTTGTCCTCACCACCACCAGTATTTTATCGCTAAATGGTAGACACATTTGTGTTCTTCCTGACAGTAGAACTACAGTAGCAGACGGATTCACAGCAGATGCACAGTGAGTTGCAGAGTGAGACGAGTGTCGACCAGCTGCCACATTGACTCCTTATATACACATTGTTAGACAGGTGGTCATAATGTTATGGCTGATCAGTGTATGTCAGAGGCTGCTGTATGTTAATTGTTGTGCAAAACAAGACACCAAATGATGTCACTGCTTAGATTGTTCTCTTATCAGTAAACCTGGTGCTGGTTTTGGTTGTCATGGAATCTGCTGCTTTTCCAGCACTGCATGGCACACGGTTATCTTTCTCTTGCACATATTATCGTTCTGTAAAAAGATATTATTAGTAATTTTTAACACTGAATAATGCTCCAGAAACATAGATCACATTTTCAAGGATCGATTAGTTTCAAGAACATATGCACCCTGTTGACAGTAATTCACACCTGAGTAGCGTGTCTCAGGTCAAGCTGTCGCTGCCACTCTATTATCAGTGTAGCTGCCTGAGGACCACACACTCACTTGTCCCTGAATTTACCTTAAGAGGCCCAGATCTCAACCCTAAAAACCCCTTCAGAAGGATATCCAGACACAGAAAGGATGAGTGGACCTCGCAGAGTGCTCATCCCCAAATGCAGGAAAAGATTAGGGGGGTGCTAAATCAAGCCTACGTTATTAGCAGTAATAAAATCACAACAGGCCACTCTGAAAAGTAGGAGTTCATCTGATGCCACTTGACTGACTGAAACCAATCAACGGCCACCAAAGATTTCATATCACTGAGGCTGAAATTGTGTAGGAGGCAACAGAAATACGATTACTTTTGAGCGGCTCTAAAGGTGTTTAATACCTGAAACACAGGGTGCCATTTTGGACTGCCCATTTCAAAATGAGTACCTTACGAGATATCACCAGACAGTTTTTGTAAATGTCAACCAATCACAGTTGATTTAATTATGAGCTTCCCTTTGTAAATACACTCTTACATAAAGCAGCCTCACCTTAAAAATGCTTTTGACAGTGCTAATCATGAATTTTTGTTTCTGCAAGAGAAGCAATAAACCTGAGTCACACTCACAAAACTGTTTCTTCAAGTAATGAGTCAATTCATCAAGTGCCCTAGTATCTTAGCAACTGCTTCAGCAATATAGTAACAGGACTTGACTTATGAATTTTTTGTTCACATGATCTCACCTAAGCAAAAGCCTCAGGCAAACCAAAAACAGCTCGCCGCTAAATGAGATGAACGCTCACGCAGATTAATGAAGAACGGAGAGTGAGCATCATCTCTTAGAGAACTATGATTTAAGTTCATCTGTGTGGCTTGTTAGTGAGTTTTAAGGTTGCTTTTAATGGAGTGCTTAGCTAGAAATAAAATTTGAGTCTTGTGATGTATCCTGGCTTCTCGGGGCTAAAAAGCTTGAATCATTACCTCTGGACTAGATAGCTCTGCTTGTATTCCACTCAAATTAGCTTGTTTACTGCCTCTAATATAAAAATGTGAGCTGAAGGTGTCTCAGAAAGGGAGGACCTATTTGAAGAATAACTTCATGAGATATGGTTTGTAGTGAGATCTGTACTTCTAATCAGTTGCATCTGAGCAACTCCTCACACTGAAGATACTGAAGGAATTCAAAATCCTTGTCAAACTGTTAAAATCATGAATTAAAGGAATTTGAGAAATGCTTTTCTTTTTATAGCTGACAGCTTGATAAGAAGAGTGATAACACTTATGCTTGTGTGTTTAATCTGGAGGCAATTATCTTAACATAAAGACTAAACAGGCCAGCACAGGAG